TCAAGAAAAGACTAAAATATGAACTTTTTATGAACTCTTTTTCAGACTTATAGTTTACTTGTTTAGTGCTTCTGAATTACTTCATCACTATTGTGATTGTTGTAAATAATGGCACTTTAATCTCTAATTATTATTATTATTATTATTATTATATATATATATTCATATAACTACCGTCCCATTAGTCTTCTCCCTATCATAAGCAAGGTTTTTGAATCTTTAATTAACAAACACTTAATCTCTCATCTTGAATCTCATAACCTACTTTCTGATCATCAATATGGATTTCGCTCTTCTTGTTCTACGGCTGATTGGCTAACAGTAATAACCGATAGGTTTTATCGTGCATTAGATAAAAGTGGAGAGGTTAAGGGCATTGCTCTTGACATTTCTAAAGCGTTTGATAAAGTTTGGCATGCTGGTCTTCTCCATAAGCTTTCTTCTTACGGTGTATCTGGAAACATTTTTAAGACCATTGGATCCTTCCTTTCCAATCGTAGAATAAAAGTTGTCCTTGATGGACAGCACTCTTCTTTTTATTTTTTAATTCAGATAAAACTCAATTTTTTTCAGCCAATCGTTATTGCAATAATTAAGACCTTCCTATATTTATGAATGGTAATGTACTCAATGAGTCATCTACCCTTCATCTTCTAGGATTAACTCTCACTTCTGATCTTTCTTGGAAACCTTATAATAAATCCGTTGCAAAATTAGCATCTGTTAAAGTTGCATCTCTTTATCGAGCTCGGCACTTTCTTACTCTGAATTCTATTCTCTATCTCTATAAATTTCAAATCCGACCTTGTATGAAATACTGTTGCCATATCTGGGGCGGATCTCCTAATGATGCCCTTTCTCTTTTAGACAAGGTGCAAAAACGCATTGTAAACATAGTTGGACCTGCTCTCGCAGTCAACCTTTAACCTCTGTCACATCGTCGTAATGTTGCTTCTCTTTCTCTTTTCTACAAATACTATAATGGGCACTGCTCTAAAGAGCTAGCGTCTCTTGTGCCATCTACTAAAATTCATTCTCGTGTTACTCGTCATTCAATTAAGTCTCATCCTTTTTCTGTTACTGCTCTTAATTGCTCCAAAAACTCTTATTTGTCTAGTTTTTTTCCTCGAACATCAGTTCTTTGGAATTCGCTTCCTTAATCTTGCTTTTCTGATTCATATAATTTGCAATCTTTTAAGTCATCTGTCAATTGTTATCTTGCTCTACAACCTTAATCTTTTCTCTTCCAGTAACTTCCAACACTAATTAGTGGTTGCTTGTAGCCTTGTTGGAAGCGAAGATGTTAAATATATATATATATATATATATATATATATACATATACATATATATATATATATATATATATATATATATATATATATATATATATATATATATATATATATATATGTATATATATATATATGTATATATATATATATATACATATATATATATACATATATATATATATATATATATATATATATATATATATATATATATATATATATATATATATATATATATATATATATATATATATATATATATATATATATATATATATATATATGCTATTGGTAACATGTAAGCCATTACAAGCTCTGTAGGATATGCCTTTCTAGGCAAAGACTAGGAGAAGCCAACTCCAACTTAAAACACCCCCTGCTTTGGGGCTCTTGGTTTAATAAAGGCTAGAGATGGTGTTTGGATAAAAATAATCATTTTGAGCAGATCTTAAATGCATCTTGCCACAATCTTGTAAAATATTATAGGCAAAGACCTAATGGGGAAAAAAGATTTTATCTGTTGATAAGTTCTTTAACAAATTAAAAAATGACCAAAATACCAAAAGCTATAAAACTCAAAAAATCATCATCATCAAGTTTCCAAATCACCATCATTCACTAATATTCGTGGTCTTCTAAGTAACTTATTTTTGTTAAGTCTTATCTCTTGCAAAGTTCACCAGGCCTACTTGCTCTTTGTAAGACTAATTTGAGTTCGGCTGTCTCATCTTGTGATCTCGGTGTTGTTGGTTATCTTCCTTTAATTTGTTAAGACTCCAATAATCACATGCTTGGCCTGGGTATTTATATTTGTAAGAATTCACCCATTTGTTGGGAAACAAGGTTTGAATCCACAGACTATACTTTATGTGCTTTCGTTTACCACCACTTCACTCAATCACTTTTTTCATTGTTCTATATCGCTCTCCTTCGTCTCAAGACTGCACTCTTTTCGATGTTATTTCTGATCAAATTGACCAAGCCCATTCTCTTAATCTTTCAGCTAATATTGTTGTTGTTGTTGGTGACTTTAATGCTTATCACACTGAATGGCTTGGCTCTAATGTCAGTGAATCTGCAGGCGTTAAGGCCCACAACTTTTGCCTTTTTCATTTGAATAGTCAATTTTCCAACTCAGTTTCTAGGCAATCTGATTCATTTACCTTCTCTACTCGACCTATGTCTTGTTTCTGATCCTAGTCAGTGCTCAGTTTCTCCACATTCACCCTTATATACTTATGATCACTGTTTGATCTTTCTAAAACTTTTATCTTATTCTTCTTCATTATCAGAATCTATGGTTTTCCTTGCATTGTGCTGCTGCAATTTCCAATCAAAACCATTACTTCCATATCTATCAGCAAAACAATTCTCCAGAAAACAAACGTCTGTTTAATATCAATAGGAACCATAGTAAAAAAGTTTGTCCAAACCAAAGCCTGCTATTCTCAGGTCACGAAATCTTGTATTTAATCTTAAAAATTAGGCTCATGAATTCTGGAGCATCTTTAACTGTTTCTATAATAGGGGCAAATCTGTTATTCCGCCTCACTTGTATGGTTCAGATTTTGTCACCTCACCTAAAGACAAAGCTGAATTGTTTGCCAAGAACTTTTCATCAATATCATCTCTTGATTCTGCTAGTTGCATTCTACCTGATATAGCTGACAAACAGATTGATTCATCGCTTGACATTTGTATCACTCCTGCTTCTGTATTTAAAGTGATTTCCTGCTCAGACTCTTCTAAAGACTTTTGCTACAGCATGGGGTTCATAGTGACTGGTGAACTTTAACTCATAGAAAACTCAATTTTTTTCAGCTAATCCTTATTGCAATAATCCTCCAACCATTATCTTATTATCTTAATGTTTCTTCTCTTTTTCTTTTCTATAAATACTATAATGGGCACCGCTCTAAAGACTTAGCATCTCTTGGGCTATCTGTTAAAATTCATGTTACTCGTTATTCTATTAAGTCTCATCCTTTTACTGTGATTGTTCCTAAGTGCTCTGAAAATTCCTATTCATTCAGTTTTTTTGTCGAACATCAATTCATTAGAATTTGCTCTTTTCTTGTTTTTCTGATTCATATAATTTGCAATATTTTTAGTCGTCTGTCAAATGTTATCTTGCTCTATAAACTTCATCTTTTTTCTTCCAGTAACTTCCAGCTGAAAACGCTTTGTTAGGATTCTCTTTAAATCTAAATTCACAACCATGTGTAAATATACATGTTCTTTTTATTTTTGCCTGTTTCATGATGTTGATTAAATATAAAATTGTGAATTTGTTGTTTAAAAAACGTCATTAGTACTTTAATTGGGTATTAGTTGATTTATTTTTGTTGCATGTTAACCAGCCGTTAATGATATATATATTAGTGTGTCCCTGAAAACATCTTTTTTAAAAAAATGCCTGCTCCACCCTCTAAATGTGTTCTATAAAATAAAATAATACTAGAATTAAAAAGTTTTTTTTTTTAAAAATGAAAATACATTTAGAGGTAGCTTAAAACATCACACAGGTTTCTAATATTATCAAAAAAAAATTTTTTTTTCAAAAGTATATCCGTTGGGTTTTAAAAGAAGTGAAATTTTATAAAAATTTAAAAAGATAAATTTTTTTCTTAAAAGATGTCTAGGCAGTGAATCTAAAATAATAATTATATAATATATAGTTATATTATTTTAGATTAATTATATGAAAATTTTTATATAATTACGCTCTTTTTGAGACCCAACATGATATACTTTTGAAGAACTTTTTTTTGATAATTAAAGGGGCCCATCTGATGTTTAAGGGTCTTGAGGGACCTCTAAAATTATTCAAACATTTTTAATTTCAATATTATTTTATTATATAGAACAAAGTTTGTTAAAAAATACTATAAAAAGGCTCTTAGTCATTAAGTAAACATAGTCATTAAGTAAACAGAGGCTTTAGTTTGTTTCAATGCACACATCACATGACTTGTTTCAATGGATGTATCAAGTGACTTGTTTAAATGCACACATCACATGGCTTGTTTCAATGCACACATCATTTAAAACAAAAAGAATGGTTAACTTGATGCTCTTTATTTTCAACTAAAGTTGGTAGAGCAAATTGTTTTAAAATTCGAAATAGAAGTGAATAATACTCAAAAGAAACCCTTTCAACTTACTTTTGACTTACTTTATTAAAATATTGGTTTTAAAAAGTATCAAGGTCCATTTATTAGTTATTTTTAATACTTGTAATTTTTGAAAGTTAGCCTGATGCTGCAGCATTAAAATATTGCGCACAAATGTTAGGTGACAATTAAAGGGTTAAAGCATACATTTTTTTTTAATTCTTATAAATTTTTTTAAACATTTGTAAGTAATTCTTTTTTTTTTAAACAATGTTTTTTTATTCAAATAAATTTTTTGGCTATGTTTGTTTTCCGGACATTAAATTATCTCACGCTTCAAATAGAATTTCTAGACCTGGCAATAATTACCATGTCTCCAACAGCCTTAGGCTTAAAATGAATAATTTCCAACAGTTACTTTTTTAAGGGGCTATTTATATGAATCAGACTGGCCCAGTTAATCAGGCTCGCTTAAAAAATAATAACATAACTTACTTTGAAAAAGGAAACTCTAATGTAAAGCTCCTAATATAATTTTAGGTAAGGGTACACACACAAAAATATATTTTATTGTTTATAAAAATTGCTTTAGGTTTTGTTACACATACTTTAACAGCTCCAATTTGGTTTGTGAAAACGCGACTTCAACTAAGCAGTCAGTAAGGCTTTAAATAAATCACCAATTTATTTTTGTTTTTTTAATAAATGTAGAACATGATATATATATATATATATATATATATATATATATATATATATATATATATATATATATATATATATATATATATATATATATATAAATTAGTACAATTATTTTTTTTCAAATTTATATATGCTTCCTTAATGTTATCATTGTTTTGTTGCCTTAAAACTATACTCTTGGAATTTTTATTAGAACGTTTAGCATTTTTAGGTCTTTACTTTTTTTCTCTTTGCTTAATAATGCGTTCCAAGAAGACCCTTGTTGCAGTGTACTGCGTTCAGAAACATTCAATGAGGAATTTACCGCAGCCTTTCTCGCTGATGTTGCTTTTATAGCCTAACCAAGCATTGAACCTTTGTTTTTAAACGTTTTGTTTTAAGACTTTTTAGTAGACATTTTATTCTCTAAGTATTTCACTTGTTAATGGGTATTAACTTATTAGTTTTTATGCTCTAATAATCCTTTGTTTGTTATGGGTTACTAAATTGTTACTGGTTACTAAGTTGTTATTGGTCTTAGATTTCTATTATCTTCGTTTTTATCTCAGTTTTAAATCCTTAACATTTTTTGACATTCTATCTATAAAGATAGCTCAAATTTTACAATATTGTATTAGTCCCCCACTCTTCCAATATGTGCATAGTATCTATTTTGTTTTATATACATGTGCATAACTTCTACTTTTTTTTTAGTAAATACGGAATGATGCGATGCATTGCGAAAGTTTACAAATCAGAAGGTATAAAAGGCTTTTACAGAGGATTGTCAGCATCATATTTTGGTGTTGTGGAAACAATTATTCATTTCGTTATATATGAGCGTTTAAAAAAGATACTTCGCGAATATCACAGGGATAATAGTTTCGATCATCTTGAAAAAAATCAGCTAACAGACTTTATGTTATCTGCAGGATGTTCAAAAACTTGTGCTGCTATTTTTGCTTACCCTCATGAAGTAGTAAGAACACGACTGCGACAAGAGACTCGTGATAAAGAACGCAAGTATCAAAAATTTTTTCAAACTTTAGTATTGGTTTACAAAGAAGAAGGTAGACCTGCGTTATATGGCGGCCTTGGAACAAAATTACTTTGTCAAATTCCAAACTGTGCAGTAATGTTTATGGTATACGAGTCGGTTGTTTTTTATTTATGTGAAAATGATCAAAACGATTGAGTTGCCAAAATCTCAAATCACGATATTTTATTTATAAAAGCGTAAATATTAGATTTCACAAATTTCAAGCTTTTGAAATCTAATGGAGCATTATTTTCGTTTTGTACTTTGTCTCACATTAAACGGAGATTTATATATAGGTATATATTATATTTTATAGTCATATGTATCTTAAAAGTCACACAAGGAAAGTGTTTTATTTCTGTGAAATAAATATACTTCAAGTTCGTTAAGTATACGAATTTTTTTTTTTGTACAAATAGGTAAATGCACGGTGATCTATACTGCTGGTCTTGCCACCGTGCAAATGACATATTTGATTAGAGGGCCTATTTTATAAACAGAGAAAGCTATTTTATAATCAGCGAAAACTATTTTATAAACAACGAAAACTAAAATAAAATTTATATTTACTCAATAAACTTTTTACCGTCAAAAAGTTCAACTTAATAACTTAAAAATATTTTTTAACTTGAAACTTTTTCTTAACTGTACATCCAAGTAATTAAACAATTCAACAATACTAAGATCAAAGTCATGTCATTAAAAAAAATTTACATACATATATAAATATATATATATATATATATTTTTTTTTTAATGACATGACTTTGATCTTAGTATTGTTGAATATACATAAATCCATGTTAATGTATATATGGGCATATGAAATACTTTTATGTAGCTCCACAGTTATCTCGTTTGCGGATTAAGCCGTCGATATATATATATATATATATATATATATATACATATATACATATATATATATATATATATATATATATATATATATATATATATATATATATATATATATATATATATATATATATATATATATATATATATATATATATATATATGTATATAGATATATATATATATATATATATATATATATATATATATATGTATGTATATATATATATATATATATATATATATATATATATATATATATATATATATGTATATATATATATATATATATATATATATATATATATATATATATATATATATATATATATATATATATATATATATATGTATATATATATATATATATGTATATATATATATATATATATATATATATATATATATATATATATATACATATAATATATATTATAAAAAATAAAGTTTTACACTGTTAATTTGATATTGACTATTATTTTATTGAAGATGTTAAAAAAAACTGCCACGTGCTCAAAGTAAAAACTAGCCAAGGACTCTAAAGTAAACCATGAAGCTGTTTTAAGTAAAATGCCAAAGCTAACACATTCTTTTCTTTCTCCAAGTTCTTTGCAACCTTGTGAATTAATCATTTTGTGTGATGGAAACATCTTAAAAACATCTAATGTCTCTGTCTCAATCTAACGAAAAAGAAAATAATGTGAGTAACCCTCTCTTGTGTAGTTCAACTTATTCAGCTAGTTTTGCCACATGTTCATCAACTTCATTTTTAGACATTTGTAGATAAAAAATTTCAAAAAGCATCAAAGAAAAACAAAGAGTCTGAATGTAATTTAAAGCTTGTGGTTGTAACAGAGTATCACAATTACAACAGGTTTTTCGAAGTAACACTTGCAAAAAAAAAATTTTCATTTTAATTTTATTTTAGGTGCTCCAAGAAGTCTTATCACGGAGCACCGCAGAAAAACATTTGAAAGAAAGTTCACGCCTCCTTCCTCACCGATGTTATAAAACTTGCCCAGAAGTGGCGTTGAACCATGGATCTCTAGCTTCTGAGGCAAGCGCACTAACCACTGCACCCGGCTAATCTTAGGATGGGTCATTAGATTCTTATCTAATGAACCATCCACTTAGCCGGAACGGCTGGCTGTCGTCAAAATAGAAAAAGATCACAGAGTAAGCCTAAATGCATGAGGCATCTCCATCTCATTTCAGTTCCTAAGAAATGGATCGAGGTATCAACTAGAATAAAAATGAACAAGCTGTCAATCAAGGTGTTATCCAACAAATTAACAAAAAAGCAGAAAAGTGGAGAAACATTTATAAGAAAATAGCGTGATTATGTACTTGGTGGACATAATATTGCATTCCGTGGGAGCTCATCAAAGCTGTACATTAAATGTAAAGGGTAAAGTTCGAAAAGTATTTTTTAGTTAATAAGGATTGCACTCTCAACCTTAGTCACAAAGGCCAAACTTCTCTAACCATCCATTATGTTCATGACTGAGTCGACTGTTCAAGGCTATTCTAACCTTTTTATTAAAGAAATAAAGTCTTGTAGGCTAGACCTAAACAACTGTAGAGATCAAGGTTTTAAAAAAGATTGACGTCGCTTGCGATACTCTTTATTGAAAACGAGGAGGCAAAAAAAAAAACCTTGCAAAAATTATTGAACAGTTTTCTTTAGAAAAACCTCGAAGAATACCGTTATAAATTTACCTGTTTGTTAGTGATGAACTATTTGATTTCCTTAACTTATAACAATTCTTGAATCGAATGTATCTTTATGGTAGATTGGTAGGTAGTAGGTACAAAAAAGATATGTACGCAACTATATTTACACTACCCATATGGACTACATATGTGTACAACTCACGCCCAGTGACAATTTTCCTTGGGCGGAATGTGGGCAACCCATTTGGGCCCCATAAAGCTGCCCAGTTGGGCCCCATGTAGGGCCAAATATGACTTGCTGGCTGAGAACTAACATAACAACATACTTAAATAAATAATCGTGCACAAAAATCTTAAAAAGAAAAAAAAATTATTTCATAAATATCGTAAAATAAATAAATAAATTTGTAAATTCGTAAAAATAACATGATTACTAATAATAATAAATAGATTTAAGTTTTACAAATTTTACAAAAAACATTTTACCCCATTCCAATGTAAAATATTATTTTTGAACATCTAGAGCACATGATTTGGTAAAAGATTACTACATCTGTCCAACAACATCTGTGGAGTAGTCCAAGATCATCTGTACACTTTTATCCAAGATCATCTGTATCTTTCTTTTACTCTAAAAACATCTGTCCAATATCATCTGAAAACTCAACGACCTCTAACAACATCTTTAGAAAGATGTAACTACATCTGGTAATTTTTCGCCAAGCCCAATAACATCTGGAAGAATTTTTTCCAGATGTAGTTACATCTGAGAATGTTTCTATATGTAATAACATCTGGTTCAAATAATGCATTATTTGTTAATTCATTTTAAAAGTAAATTCATCTTAAAATCTACAGATGTAGTTGCACAAATGTTATTACACTTTGATAATTTAAAGGTGTAACTACACTGTAATATTCATTTAATTTTTGCACAGATGTTATTAGGTATCAATGAAATTTCAGATGTTGTTGGACAGATGTTATTATACCTCATTATATTTACAGATGTTGTTGGAAAGATATTAGACATAGCAAAAACTGATGTTGTTACTCTGGCCCCATGGTTTTATTGTCAAGGGAATTCCAAGTCAAGGTGACTCTATATAAAAAGTTATTTGTATTTTTATGATTAGAGCCGTTTGGGCCGTAGCGTCAATTTATTGCAATTTATCTAAGATGAAATGGTAAAGCTTCCTTTATAAATGAGCCCATCATAAATTCTGAGTTTAAGCCATTAAGGGATTTAAAAACTTCAACAATTAGAAATTGCAAATTTTGAAGATGGATTCTTGGGTTATATAATTTTAACACTTCATTGACAAATCAAATTTTTTATGTTCTTAGTGGAGTGCTTTTTTATGAATTTTATTAATAAGGTTGTCATTGTATTTCAAAACATCCAAATCAAAAGACAATATAAAAAATTAGACAAAATATCCGCGTTAAATAATAGAGTAGCTTGTTTATAAGGTAGAAAACTTCTGATTCAAGGAAAAGGAAAAGCACTTACTATTAGCTTTTCCGCATATTTAATGCGATCACCTAAGTAGCTTAATTTTATGCGAAGCAAAAATCTCGTCAACCATTATAAATTGGCTGTTTGAATATTTTTGACCAACTATAAAAAATTGAAATTTTTTGGGATTTACGATCATATATTTGAATTAAAATCATTTAATGGCATTTAGTGTTTCGTTTTGAGATCGAAGAATAACACTCTCTAAGTTATTATTACAAATATAGAGAGTATTATCGTCAGCAAAATTGCATATCTCAGAGTTTTTAATAAATAGAAAAAAGTCATTTATAAATATATTAAAGTATATTGGGCCGAAGATTGATCCTTGTGGCACCCCTAATGAAGTTCCTAACAATTCAGAAAATGATGAACCCAATTTAACCCTTTGTTTACGATCGCTTAAATATGACAGTAAAAGTTTAAGGCTTTCATGAGAAAAACTATGAGCTTCCAATTTAGCTATAAATAACTCACGAAAAATTAGGTCGTAAGTTTTTGAAAGATCCATAAGCATGGACCCAATTACATCTCTTTATGCAAACATTCCTGACATTTTTTCATTCCATTTTTTCATGCAAACATTCCTGACATTTTTTCAGTTAAATAAAAAGCGTATGCTTTTTATTTTACTGTGTCTACGAAAACTCTAAGCTATACGAATCTTTTTTAACCAATCAGTTCTTATTAACAGGTTATAAAACTCCTAACCGTCTTGACATTTCTAATCTAAGCAGATGTCTTTTTGCATATATTAATTATAACATCCCTTTAAGAGGGTAGAACTCTACCAAATGCAGTAATTTAATACAATCACCAACTTTTTTTAAATCGGTTATGAACCCTTCTTGTATTGATCTCACCCTCACAAATATATAGTTTTGTCTTCAACATTTAAATGCTACATAACAGAATGTTCAATCTAGGTTCCATAAATGCCATATCTGCTCAAATACTTTTGAAAAAGCTGGAAGGATACTTATTGGTCGATAGTTTGAGTTATCCGTTGTGTCAGCTTTCTTAAAACAAGGTATGACATCAGTCATTTTTAACAAAGAAGGTAATATTCAATCTGAAATGCTTTTATTTATATATTTTGAGAAACTTTGTCTGAAAAACTTATTATGGGACTTTAACATATTTGTTGGTATGTCTAACATATTTTTTGCCGATAGTTTTCTTCTTAATCTTCATTGTTTGTATGTTGCCGATAGTTTTCTTCTTAATCTTCATTGTTGGTATGTTGCCGATAGTTTTCTTCTTAATCTTCATTGTTGGTATGTTGCCGATAGTTTATTTCTTAATCTTCATTAGTGGTATATTGCCGTTTTTTTTTTT